GGCTCGGCACAGGATCCAACACCCAATGCCCTGGGAGCATGCTCTTTTGCACCTAAGGTATTTTAATCCTTCCAGGCTGCCACTGGCTCATCATTGAGAACCTCCTCAAGATAAACCTCCCTTCCTCAAAGACTTTCCTGAGGACTGTACCCACACCAGTTACCCTTACATCTTATCCTCAAAGCCCCATTATCTGTGGAATTATCCTACTATTTTTTTGTGATAATTTTCTCTCCTTGGATGTTTTCTTTCTTTCTTTTTCTTTAATAATATTTATGTATATGGGTGTTTGCTTGAATGTGTTTCTATATCCCATGCATGTGGTACCAACAGAAGCCAGAAGACAGCATCAGATCTCCTGGAACTAGAATTACCTTATAAATGTATGACTGTGAAGTATCATGTGGCTGCTAGGAATCAAACCTATGCCCCTTGGAAGAGTACCCAGTGCTCATAAGCCCTGAGCCATCTCTCCAGCCCCTCCCACTCCCACCCCACCACCTCCCTTTTCTTTCAAACTTTCCCTCAAGAATCTCTCTAAACATTGTTGTGCTACCTATGAAATTGGAATACCATAGTGAAACACTTTTTTTGCACTGTAGATAGCCACAAAAATAATTGGAGTATCTAAGAATTTTTCACAGTATCTCTTTGGAGGTGATCTCACTACTGCAAAGAATGTGCTAAAACATAAAGCATTTCCTGCAAGCCGTGTTCCTGCCTATCTCCAGGGCTGGCCTTGAAAAATTGTAGGTGATTCATGGACATTAGTGACATGATTGAGAGCACAGAGACCCTGGAGCACAAGAGAGAGATGCCTTACAGAGTTGGGGAGGTAAGCAGGGAAGAGTGGACGTCACAGTAGGATCTCGTGGGCTGGAAAAAGTGTGAGGAGGAATGAAGAACAGAGCATGTGAAGCCCTTCAGTGTGCATGGCCATGACTATCAGAAGCCCTGTAGTGGTGGAGGGAAACCCCTTTAGGGGTCCTAGACTAGACTTCTCCTTGGGTGAGAGTTGGAAGAGCTCTAGGCTCTGCTCAAACTCTCTGTGGGTTGACCCTCCAACCTTATTCTGCTTAGGTAGGAGTCCATGACTGTTGTAGTAGAGGTCACTAGTCATTGTGTCTCCAACTACCCTAAAAACCCCACGTGCATCTCCAAGACAGCAGTGAATTCCAACTCTATCCCAGGCTGAGAGTCTCACAGACCTTCAGGCCTGGGTTTCCTGGGAGCATCCATGCCTTCAGTCCACCACCCAGTATGTAGTAAGCAGTGAGGGCTTATCTCTGCTTTTCCAGACCCAGGAGCTCAGCAGTCCTGTTTATTTACCCAGAGCAGCCGCCTGCTGAGAAAATGGATGTTTGTTTCCAAGTGTGTCGTGTGAACCATGGGCTAAATATACCCACACCACAGCCTCTCCAGCCCCCACCCGCCCAGGAACAGCACACCCCATTCTGCTCAGCTCTCTGCAAAAGCCATTGCCAGGATCCACGCCCTTGAAAGTCCTGCTCCCCCACCCCCACCCCAGGAGAAGGAGCTCTGAGCAAGATCACCCTGGCCAAGAATGCAGCTTAGGAACAGAGACAGGAGTGGTCAGTGCCTTGTTCTCTGTGTCCCCTCCACCCTGGAATGACTGTTCCTGGACAGTGAACGCTTTGTGCCCTTGTGGGGACAGGGCCTGTTTACTTCAGCCCAGCCCCAGAGCCAAAAATTTCCTATGGCTGGCAATCCTCTACTTCAGGAAAGTTCCAGTGTGGAAGGCTCTCTAATTTGGTGACCACCCCAGTGTCCCTGGTCCCTTGTGGGACATTTGGCCCCTTGAAATAACTGAGACTTCTCTAGCTGTGACCTTTTTTTCTCCTGTCCTTCCCACAGCCTACGACTCTCATCTTTATGATGCTTTACCTGGGCCTACTTAACTGACTGGCCTTAAATTCCCCATGTATCTGAGGGTGACCCTGAACTTCTGATCTTCTTGCCTCTGACTCCCTCATACTGGGGTTATGGATGCACCGCCATACCAGTTTTATGCAGGGTACCAAGGACCCAAGGCTTTACTGCATGCTAGCCTGAAACTCTACTATGTTACACCCTCAGTCTTTATAAGAGGTTTCTTCTCTGCCAAGATGCACAGAGGCTGGCCAGGATGGATAAGACAGGAAGGCACAACCAGCCACTGCTTCTGCCCCGGTCCTGGGCTCCTCTCGGCTCCACTGTCATGGTTCCTTTGCCCTAAAACCCTTATGGCACTGAAATATGACAGGTTTCCCTTTACCAGCGGGTGGAAGCTGGAATAGCAGTCACTCTGATTTGCTAAAGATGGACCTCAGAGCCTCATCCATACCGAATGCTCTGTAGGACCCAGCAGACATTGTCCTGCACTCCTGTGAAGCCAGGCAGTCCCTGAAGTCTGATGACTCTGCTACCTGTTAGTTCATGTGTTCCATGCCTTAAGCCTCAGGCATCTTATCTCGGCTGGGAAATGAGACTCTCACCTACCTCTGAGGGCTCTAAGAGAAGATGGAACAATGTCTGGAACTTAGTAGACGTGCAGTATATGTGTTCTCCTTGTATAGAGTCGTGTGTTGCTTAACTTCTCAGGGATGAACTCAGAAATGTGTCATTAGGCCACTTTCTTGTGTGAATATCAGAGTGTACTTAACAAACTCGGGAAGGTCACACGAGAATATGATGCAATGCAGGGAAGTGGCAAAAAGAGAAGGAGTTGGAGATTGCTAACTTACCCATCCTTGTGTAGTGGCTTTTTCTTGTAAGTAGCAGAATGCTCAAAAATAACAGTAACAAAATTATTACTACTGCCAAGTACTACACATGACACAGAACTGTGTGTTCATTTTTGTTGTTTTTGTTGTTGTTGTGTGTTTGTTTGTTTGTTTGCTTGCTTGCTTGCTTGCTTTTTTTTTGAGAGAGGTGGTCCTGATAAGTGGATGGGGCTGGCCTCAAACTCATAGAGATCCACCTGCTGTGCCTCATTACTGAGCTTCACTGTTACGTGACTGGCAGCCCAGTTAGGTTGTTTTCACCAACATCACAAACACATGAGGAAAACATCTCATTAGAAGAGCTAAAACCTTACAGGCTCTGTTTTAATTTTTACAGGTGTGTGTGTGTGTGTGTGTGTGTGTGTGTAACATTGTTATGCAACACATGACAGCTTACAGAGCATCAACTCTGTGCCAGACCCTATTCTGAGCACAAGACAGGGTTTCAGCCCTTGACTGGACAGATCTAGTACAGAAGGCAAATCACAGTGAAATGTAGTGTGTTGTGTGGTCATGAGAAGCTGAGAAGGTAGGGGTGGCCATCTAGAACCTCAATGTTCCCAGTACTCAAGAGGCTGAACCAGGAGGATTGAGAATTCAAGGCCAGCTCCTGTCTCTGGGAAAAGGGGTGGAGGAGGAGAGGCAGGAAGAAAGAAGTTAGTATGCTAAGGAAAAGACATGTAACAAGGTTGGGGTGGACACTGCTCTAGTTTGTGGTCAGGAGGATCCACAAAGAAGGCCATGTGGCCAGAGTAGGGGAAGAGAGACTCTATTGAACTACAGCTGTGGGAAGGAAAGTGGACTGCTCTGGTGTGAGGAACATGGAGAGTTGATACATTGTGGTTGGAAAGGACTTTCCCATCTGCCTGCTGCTTCCGGTTCTTTTCCCTAAATGGATGGGGAATTTTGCCATAAGGGCTCATGGCTCACTGCCTCTCCAACAGTTTCATAAATATTGGTCTTTTCAGGTCAGTCTGCTCAAAGCTTGTGCCATTCTGCTGCTAGGTACCAGGGATGCAGAGATGCCCTGCTAAGTACAGGGGAAGGGAGCTACTAGAGTGGAGGTCAGTGTTTTTAAGCAGTCATCTCAGCAAAGCATGGCCTGGGGATATGTGGTAGTGGTGAGGGATATTAGAAGATAAGAAGTCAATCAGGCTGCATCCTGAGTGAGCACACAGGTAGCCCAAAGCTACCTGGACATGGATGGAAGTCCTATCAGGGAGCCTCCACTTGGGACCAGATGGAGACATAGCTCCATGGAGGCAATTGCATGGGCTCTAAAGTCAACATTCAATTCTCTCATTTTACAGAACACAGCAAACACTTAACCTAGGGTCCAAGCACCAAGTTTGGATTCTGGTCCGTCAGTGCCCAGGTAGGGGTGACCTTAATTGGGTCCCTTTCCTCCCAGAGCTCCAGCTGCCTCATATGTATGTGAGGAAGAGACAGCCTGCTGCAGCCTGCTGGATGCCATGACCTCCATGTGCTGGCTGTCCCACTGAGTTATATGTCCCTTGGTACAGAGTGGTTGCTTACCTCCTCCTGGGCCTGGACTGACAGCCCTGGGATGGAGACAGGAATGGTCTCCCCATGCTTGTGTTAAGTGTTCTACTCTGTTCTTCCCACCTACCAGTCAGCTATAGCTGAGTGCCCCAGTAGAATTGCTCTGAGAAACTCCCCTCTCCTGTGGTCTAGCAATGGATAAGCCAGAGGCTGACATTGCTCTTGGCCTCTGTGCAGTCTCTAGGGTTGTGTGATAATGCTCATCTACCCCACCCCCCCTCCTGCACTCCCATCTCCTGTTGTTCCCACCGAACTATCTGTGCTTATTTGTTTCTTTTAGTTTTTCCAGACAGGGTTTCTCTGTGTAACAGCCCTGGCTGGCCTCGAACTCACAGAGATCTGCCTGCCTCTGCCTCCCCAGTGCTGGGATTAAAGGCGTGCGCCACCACCACAGCCCATTTTTTTAAAAGTGGTTGGTTGGTTTTATCTGTTGTTTCTTAAAGCAAAAAGCACTCTCCGTACCTGCATTCTCAGCAGTAAGTTAGGTTGGTCTTTCCCAGCTGGGGTTCGGAAGGGCAGCCTTTAACCTTTTCTCTGGCCACAGTAGGCACTAGTGCTATAGCTTTTCAATTCACCAAGGCCATTGCTTGCAGATGGCCCTTTTTCTGGGCAAGGATTCACAAAATGTCTACCATTCCCTCTCTGTCCCTACAGGACACTTTCGTGGAACTCTATGGGAACAATGCAGCAGCTGAGAGCCGGAAAGGCCAGGAGCGCTTCAACCGCTGGTTCCTGACGGGCATGACTGTGGCTGGTGTGGTTCTGCTGGGCTCGCTCTTCAGTCGGAAGTGACAAGACAATGACCACCCACTCACCTCTCGCCCCCCACCCTGTCCCCACCACAACTCTCTCTTTAGCCACCATTGCTACCAGGAGAACCACTACATGCAACTCACGCCCCTACCCCTATCACAGGGTTGGGCCTAGATCAAGTCCCCTTGCAGTTAGCTTTCTAGAACCTACCACACTTCTGTGAGAGCCACCTTCCTCCCACATCTCAATTCACTTGGCCTCAAGATTCACAAGATTGTCCCCCCCAAATGGGCCGCCTGGAGGCTGGCAGGAGTGGGGAAGGGTGTGCTAGAGGGAGGAGAGGGGCCTGCCTGCTTGGGGGACCCTCAGTTAACCCCTGAGTCTCCTGGGAATGCTTTTCTGGCAGGGAGCTGGAAAGCGTTCTAACCCTTTTCCCCAGAAAGAGACTAGATTGCCTTGGTTTTGATGTGTGTGGCCTCAGAATTGATCATTTCCCATCCCACCGTGTCCCTGGGCCCCCCCTTCTTCCCACCTCTTCTAACCCCAAGAGCCATTGAGAAGCCCCTTTTGACTAATTAGAAATTCAAGCTACTTGGGATAAAGAGGCAGTTACCACAACCTCCATGTCCTGTGTCCTGGCCAAAGCCCCCACTCCTGGTCTGAATGTTCTCCTGAGGCTTCTGGCTAAAGGCCAGCCCCACTCAGGAGGAGGGGCTTAGCTGCAGAAAGTCCTCCAGCCTTAGAGCTAGAGTGGCTCTCGAAGCTGTAGCACCACCCTAGACCCTTCTCCACCCCTCCCCTGGCTCCCATGACCATGACTGAGGGACCAACTGGGCCCAAGATAGGTGCCCCAGAGCTGTTAATGACTTCAGCTGCCTCACTTCCTGCAAGATCAGCCTGTGGCATCTTTGCCTTGGGTGCTGGCCACAGGGTCCAGGAACTCTGGCCTCAGCCCAGAAGTGAAGGGGAGCTATACAGAGCAGCTGTGGGAGCCTCTGGGGGCTTCCCTACCTCAGGCAGGAAGGGCAGGAAGGAGAGCCTGGTGCACAGGTGGGGGGGGGGCTGCAAGGGCCTGTCCTACCCAGTCTTAGTGCCCTGCCCCCACCCAGCCTGGGCAGCAGGGCTGCCAAGGTCAGAGTGGCCTGGCCAGGAGCCCTTCAGGCCTCTCTCTCTCTCCTGCTCCACCCTTGGCCTGTCTCATCCCTGGAGGTCCCAGATCAGCTCTGGCTACCCCGGGCTCTCTGCTGTATATATTCGAGACTAGTTTTTATTCCTTGTGAAGATGATATACTATTTTTGTTAAGCGTGTCTGTATTTATGTGTGAGGAGCTGCTGGCTTGCTGTGCGCGTGCACGTGGAGAGCTGGTGCCCAGAGACTGACAGCCTGATGCTCCCTCCCTACCCTTGCCTGGGGAAGCCCACTGGGGGTCCTGGCTTCTGAGAGGCACCTGTCCCTCCTCTCCCTCACCCTACACTTGTTCCAGCTCTTTGAAATAGTTTGTGTGAAGGTGAAAGTGCAGTTCAGTAATAAACGGTGTCGACTCTGTGAACCGCAGCCTTGGCTCTGTGCCTCATGGGTAAGGGAGTCTGTTCTTGTTTCTATACATTAACAGGCATAGGGGCTAACTGAGCACCTGCTGGTCCTGTGTGAACAGGACAGTCCTCCCCCTCAGGAGCTGACTTTCTAGTGGGCCCAAGTGTCACACAGTCACGGGACAAATGTTTGCTGAGCCCTGCTGCAGCACAAGCCTGCCTTTTTGAGGCTTGCACATTAGTGGAGAAGATGGGTGTGGAAGTGTGGTGCTGGTGGCTTAGGGCTCCCATGAGAGAGCGACTGTCTTCTGTCAAGACATGGAAGACTTGAGAGAGAATAAAGCGACCAGATTTGAGGTGACATTAAGGTGGGTCTCAAGTTTCACATGAATTAGAGATGGCCTAGAGAAAAGAGGACATCTGAGGCTGGAGAGGTGGCTCAGAGGTTGAGTGCTTGCTGTGCAATCCTGAGGACCAGAGTTTAGATTTCAGCACCACTTAGAGTATTCACCAATTGCCCGGAACCCCAGCTCCAAGGGATGTGAGGCCCTCTCCAGCGTCTTCCCACGCACAAGACCGTGCACCCTCACATGTACACATAAATTAGTCAAGCAAAAAGATGTTTGGTTTTCGAGACAGGTTTTCTCTGTGTAGCCCTGGCTGTCCTCGACCTTGCCCTGTAGATCAGGCTGGCTTGGAACTCGGAGATCCACCGAATGCAGGAATTAAAGGCGTGTGCCACTGCCACCGCCATCCCCCACCACCCCGCACCCCCAGTTTTTCTGTAAAGATGACACAGAAGTCAGACATAGTGACACACTTCTTTAATCCAAGCATTTGGGAGGCAGAGGCCCGGGGATCTCTAATTTGAGGCCAACCTGGTCTACATTGGGAGTTCCAGCACAGCCAGAGCTACAAAGAGAAACCTCGTCTCAAAGAAAAAAGTGACAGGTTTGGGGGCTAGTGAAACATGAATAGCAAGCACTGGGCTCTGTGTGGTGGCACATAACTGTGATTCCAACCCTTGGGAAACAGAGGCACATCAATTGAGCTTAAAGCCAATCTGATCTGCACAGAGTTCCAGGCCTTTTTGGGCTACATAATGAGACCTGTCTCAGAGGACAAGCACTGAACAGAGTCCACACAACTCCTGGGACACATGGGCTCCTAGAGGGAGCCAAGGTTTGAAGGGTGAAGAGGGCTGAAGAAAAGCTAGCATGTCTGGCACTGAGCAGCCTCATGCTTAGAAACCAGATTAACTGGAGATGAGGGACATGGATTTGGCCCTGGTCAGGAAGCATATGATCCTTAGAGCTCTGAAAAATCTCTCTAGCTGCTATGAGAACATTCTAGAAAGGAGCTAGAAGAAACCCCAGAGAGCAGTAAGAAGCCATTTGTTGATTACAGCTCTGGATTTAGGGATGTGTGACCTGGGTCACTATGGCCCTTGTGACATTGCCCACTGCTCCTGAAACCCCTATGACCGTCTTCGAGAAATGGGTTAAGGTAGAACCCCTCACACCAGCCAGCCACATTCCAAGGCAAAGAAGTACTGCTTTCAAGTTCTATGTTGCTACAGCTGGAAGGAGGAGGGAAGCCCATACTGGATGGTTTTCTGAGCAGGCTTGACTGCCTCCCATGGATGCAAATGAGACCTGAAAGCCATCCCGACTCATGGGCTCTTACACAGTGCCAGTGACTGCTGACTCTGCAGGACAGCTTTGCCCAGTGTCCTCCCACCTTGCTCTGCTCACTAGAGCACATCCCATCACTTGGGAATGGAGCTGCCTGACTCCCCTAGGGCTCCTCCAAAGCCTCCTGCCTCCCACCCACCTCTCCCTCTCGCAGCTTCAGGCTTATCAGTCAGTGCCATCATTGGCTGCCCATCCATACCCCCCCCCCAAGGATTGGAGCTGCTTCCTACCCTAGCCACTCAAAGACCCCCTTTCCAGATTGTTCATATGCTTCCAGAAATATATTTCACATAGATAAATACACACATATAAAATATGCTTTGATTCTACATCCTAAATTTTGGGGCATATTTTTTATTTACATTATTTTTGAGACAGTGTCTCACTCTGTAGCCCAAACTGTTCTAGAGTAGCTTCTTCTCCCCAAGTGCTGGGATTATAGGCAAATGCTACAAATGGTTGCTACAGGTAGCCCTTCTATTTTCTTCCGTATAACCTGTGGAAGTTTTGCTATCTGTGCATAGATTGGCAGCTCCAGGCATTTGCAATTCAGAACATATTCATCCTTTTTTTAAAAAGCTATATAATATTCCACAAAATTTGGGAGGTTGAAATATGGTCCAGCTCTGTTTCCTTGGCTGGCCTGGAACTGGCTGCCTCTGTCTTTCAAGAACTGGGATTAAACATCTGAATCACCACATCTGACTTTCACCAGACTTAGCCAGATCCCTAATTTCAAGAGTCCCAGTGCCAGACATGTCATCACACTATTGGAGTCACACTGACTGAAGGCTCCTGGGCAACTCTTTAAAAGGAGGCAGGGACAACTTGGTCTGGGCTCTGTAGCTGCAACTTTTTCTAATATTTATTTTTAGGAGCTGGAGAGATTGCCCGGTGGTTAAGAGCACTGCCTGCTTTTCCAGAGGACCTGGATTCAATTCCCACTACCCACATGTCCCCTCAAACCATCTATGACTCAGTCCCAGAGGATCTGACTCCTGGCTAGCTCAGTTGGTAGAGCATGAGACTCTTAATCTCAGGATTGTGGGTTCGAGCCCCATGTTGGGTGCCATTTTGTTACATTTTCTTACCAACCTGGTCCTACTGCTGCATCAGCCCCAAATAACACAGAGACACTGTATTAATTATAACGCTATTGGCCAATGTCTAGAGCTTTTTATTAGCTAGCTCTGCTTTAATTATTAACCCACAATTACTAATGTATGTATTTCTACATGGTCTTATCTTACCAAGAACACTGGACTCAATGCATCCTCTCCTCCTGAGATCACATCAAGATTCCGTCCTACATTTCCCAGAATCCTCCACCTCTCCTAGTCCTACCTATCTTGCTTCCCTATTGACCAACAGTGCTTTATCCATTAACCAATAAGAGAAACATTTACAGAATGACACCTCCCATCACTCTTCTGGCCTCCATGGGCACCAGGCTTGCATGTGATAATGGCAAAGCCCCTTCATTCAATCCCCTGCACCACATAAATGGCATAGTAGCAGATACCTACAATTCCAGCATGTAGCTCCTCAGCTGCATAGCAAGTTTGAGGCCAACACATGAGACCCTGTCTTAGAAAAACAGGAACAAATAAAAAAATAATGGTTTGGGATTTGGATTTTGAGACAGTCTCACTATGTAGTCCTGGCTGGCCTGGAACTCTCTGTGTTAACCAGGAAATCACAGTGATTGGCCTTGCCTCTGCCTCCTGAGTACTGGGTTTAAAGGTTTATAAAGTCAACTAGAGCTACATAGTGAGTCTCTATCTCAAGATAAATAAAAGGCTTTTTGGGGTAGGGGAACAGGGGAGATGTGACCCTGAAGACTGAGTCCAGAGCCTTGCCTGTACTAGGCCTACATTCTATCACTGAAGGGTACATCCCAGCCCTTAACTGTAATATTTATTTCTCAATGTCCTCAATGAAGTAATTTTAATATCAACCCAAAGTTACCCTCCATTAAATTGTACCCTGTTTGATTGTGAACAACTGCCTGTAACTACAGTTCCAGGGGATCTGATAAACCCCTTCTGGCCTTCGTTGTTGATTTTACTCTTTGGCTCTTTCGGCTTTGTTCTTTGGGGAGCCTGCCACCCAGCTCCCAAATAAATCACATGGAGGCTTATTCTTTCTTTTTAATTGCCTGGCCTTAGCTTGACTTGTTTCTAGCCATCTTTTCTTAAATTATCTCATCTACCTTTTGCCTCTGGACTTTTATCTTTTTCTGTTTTTCACAACCCTTCATATTCTCCACAGATTTCTCTTTCTATTTATTCTCTCTGCCTGCCAACTCTGCCTATCCTTTCTCCTGCCTTAGTATTGGTCATTCAGCTCTTTATTAGACCAATGGGATGTTTTAGACAGGCAAAGTAACACAGCTTCACAGAGTTAAACAAATGCAACATAAAAGAATGTAACACATCTTTGCATCATTAAAACAAATTTCCACAACATAAACAAATGTAGCACATCTTAAAATAATATTTCACAATAGGCCTTTGAGAGTACCAGGCACAAATACATGCAAACTCTGTCTGTCTGTCTGTCTGTCTGTCTGTCTGTCTGTCTGTCTGTCTCTCTCTCTCTCTCTCTCTCTCTCTCTGCTGTAGCCGAGAATATCCTCTAGAAGCAAGAATGACCTATCTCCACCTCCCAAGTGCTGGCATTATAGTTACGAGCCCCCACAACCAGCTCCAAATCTACTTTTCAATGGCATTTGAGAAATGGGGAAGCACACGTACAAAGAGCAAGCCTGCAGCTCTCTTCCAGTTCCCCAAGCCTCAGGCCCCAGATTTGGGAGTGTTTTCTGATCAAAATGTTTAGTTACGTCCTTCATGGTAGCTGTGCCTAGAACTCAGTGTTAGAGCCTTCGTTTCCCTCCTGTCTGCTTTGACTGGATGGGAACCCATGAGAGACAATCTTCCTCCTCTTCCTCATGCATCTCTTCCCACAGCCCCCACCTCCCCACCCCGTGTAATCAGCAGTATGCCTGCACCACTGCATGGAGCTGGACCAAGAGCCAAGAGCATGCCTGTGTGCTTGCCAGTTTCTCTGTTTAGTTACTCTTTTCTGGTGCGGTGTGCCGAAAATCCAGAGCCTGGAACATGCTAAGCAATGCTAGGTCACTAGCCACACCCTCAGCTCTTCCCTGGTTCCTTATTTGTGACTAGCACTCACTCTGAAGTTTAGGTTGTTCTAGAATTCACTGTGTCATCCAGGCTAGCCTCTAACTTGTGGCAGTCCTCCTGTCTCAGTCTCCTGAGTGTTGGGATTACAGGTGTGAGTCACTGTGGCAAACTACTTGAACA